AGTTCTCGTGTGAGTTCCTAGAAACAAAACTATGAGGGCGTGGTCGAGGTCCAAAGTGGACAATATCGTGTTACGGTGGAGTCGAGTCCGGGATGTGATGGGGGCCCAGGTCAGGATGTGACAATTTGGTATCAGAGCAACTCCCTGGCCGGAAGCATGAGGCTTTTTGGGAACTCATTAGCTTCGGGTTCCGTAAGAACTCCGAAGTTAAGTGAGTTCGCGCGAGAGCAATCTCATAATGGGTGACCCACTAGGAAGTTCTCGTGTAAGTTCCCAGAAACAAAATCGTGAGGTGTGGTTGGGGCCCAAAGCGAACAATATCGTGCTACGGTGGAGTAGAGCCCGGGATGTGGTGAGGACCTGAGACGGGATGTGACAAATCTATACTTGAAAGGTCATCAGTAAAAATCTCTTCGGTTGTAGCAGTGGGCATGAAAATTTCATCGCCTCCATTAAAATTATCGTTCAACTGTTATATCTCATCGATTTGCCACTGAATTTCATTAATCCATGGCTAATCTAATTGATCATTGGCTAGACAAGCGGTTGGCAATCGATCAGTTCATAATAACAATGAGAGATTGATAGGGGAGAGTGTTGTTGATTAAATTCACACAGAAAGAAGTGATGGAGAAAGGAGAAAGAACGGAAAATTTGAAATCAGTTTATTTTCAATTTGGGTATTGCTTTCGGAACGTGCAATTTGATTTTTTTTTTTTTAATTTTTTTTTTGGTTTTTTTGTTGGGTTAGAGGTTTAGGATGGAGAACGAAAGACAAATTGGTTTTCGACATGTTTTAATTGAAACCCAAATTAGATACTGCATAAAAAACAGAATCAGAAAATGAACACTGCATTGCAGTGTCTGAATCAAAATGTCAAAAATAAAAAATAAGAGTCAGGAAATGAACACTGCATTGTAGTGTCTGAAATCCAAATGTAAAAATAGTATAAAAACAGAACCAGGAATTCAAATGTAAAAAATATATATATAAAAACAGAACCAGGAATTCAAATGTAAAAAAATATATATAAAAACAGAACCAGGAAACGGACACTGCATTACATTGTCTGAATCTAAAATAAAATAAAAAAACTAAGAAATAAACACTACATTGCTGTGTTTGAATTTGTATTGACCTATTCCAAAATATAAAAATATGAGAAAGAGTGTGTCAATTCAAGTGGGTGACAGTTGTAGTGGCAAATTTTGTAATTATTGTTTATTTTAAATGCATTTAAGTATCATAATATATGACTGGCCTATTTATAATTAACATAAATATTATTGATGTATTGTCAATATTGTAACTTTCTATTGATTTTATACAAAATTACCCTAAAAACAAATTGATACTTTATTTACGAAATATACTTGCAATACAAAAATAAAACAGTAACCAATTAATTGCAAAAAATAATATAAATAACAATAACTTGATTGACAAATAGAGGCTAATAGTGCTATGTTCTTCGGACAGAATTTCCGTCCCACTCTTGTGTTTGTGGTTCTACGACATCTGCCTAACCAAGATACAACTATCTAATCCTACAACCTGCACCGAACTATAGAATTTTGGCGAATTACTTCTGTGTGTGTACTCTCTAGAAATTTTTGTATGGGAAATAAAGAAAAGAAGAAGATGATTCTACGTTGAAAATGAGTGTTTCATACCATTTCAAATACCTCTTTGATGTATCTAAAAGTAACAACTCTTTCAACTCAGGAGTGTCTCTTAATCAGGACGTTCTTAATATTAATTCAAAAATTAATTCAAAATTAAAATAATTAGTATTCATGTGGCGCCCATTCTCACAGATTATCGGTTGTTTAACAGACAGCTTAATGGAAATGTGAAATTGTTCCAAAATTATGACTTTAGAGACTGAGATGAAAAAAAACTTTATGTATGAAATGTTTTAAACCAAGAAATTTAAGGCAGTAAGTTGAGATTCATCCTTTATATTATATCAACTGTTGATGCTTGATAATTTGCATTGCTCAATCAGGGTCTGTTAACCAGGGTTAGCGTTAGCGTGTTATACGATCCGCCTCGAACTCCTAAGTTTTTTTAACAAACACAAGAAAGCCACACGCAGGGTCCAACTCCAACCTACTGCACTTCGCACTTTCTACAACTTCGAAAAATAAATCCAGATAACTCAGCGGGAAGTGGCACTTACTCGGGAGGAAGCAAACAATCGTCAGAGAAGGCGGCACCGCGAGAAGGTTCGTCATCAAGTTATGACACACTAAATAGCGGCGGTGAAAGCGGAGAAGGTGAAGGAGACGGCTCGTCATCAAGTTATGACACACTGAAATCTCTGTTTCTTGTTTATGAACAGAATGCTCTTTACGAAGGACCACAAAGATGAGACTACAGATTAAATGATTTAGAGGATCCGTACCAAGAACTCGAGACAATTGAAGAGAGGCTTGTAAATCTTTCTAAACCTGGAATGTCATCTGTAGTTACTACTCAAGACTGTCTTTTGGATCTCCCAAAATTACATTGTTGATCATGGAAAGCCCCAACTCCCCAAAATAGTAAAGATGATCGCGAATATGCACGATTTGATCAAGATATAAGGAAAGATAAATATGAGCTGAAGGAAAACCCTAAGAAAGGCTACCTTATTAACTCTAGCATCAGGGATGCTGTTTCTCTGGGCAGAACCTCCTCAACGCCTCCCCCATTATGCTCTCTATGCCAACACAAAACACCGGTCTTTGGCAAACCTCCGAAGCAGTTCTCTTATAAAGAGTTGGAGGATGCTACAGACGCATTCTCAGATATTAACTTCTTGTCAGGAGGAGGTTTTGGTGTGGTGCACATGGGAGTGTTGAGAGACGGTCAAGTTGTTGCTGTGAAGCAGTTGAAGTTTGGTGGCTCTCAAGCAGATGCTGACTTCTGCAGAGAAGTGTGAGTATTGAGTTGCGCACAACAGGGGAACGTTGTGTTGCTGATCGGGTATTGCATCGAAGGCAATGCAAGGGTATTGGTTTACGAGTACATCCGCAATAACTCGTTGGATTTCCATTTACATGGTGTGCACTTTTGTTACTTCATGGTTTTAATTTCGAACATATCCACAGCTCTTTTCAATCTCATAGACTTGACATTCTCTTTGTATAAATATACTGTCTTCAGCTTTATGGACTCGATTTTCTCATGGTCTTATTTTGTTTGAATGGCAGGGAAAAGAACCCTTCTGGATTGCGAATCAAGGCTAACAGAAGCAGCCCATCGTTTAAGATATCTGCACGAAGATTGTAAAGTGGGATGTATTGTACACATAGACCTTCGGCCCAACAATATCCTTTTAACCCACCATTTTGAACCTCTAGTACTTAAAACTGATCCTGGAATTTGAAAGCATATACTTCAAAAACAACGTTCCCTTTCCCGTGAGAGGTCCTATTTCTTAATTTAGTATTTTATCCATGATATCCAACGGTCACAAATTTGTTCGCATTTCCTGTGTGCAATCAAACTTTTAATCTTCTGTTATCGTTCTTAGAATATGTTTACATTTTAGTACATCTGTACGAATTGGAACGTGCTCAGATGCTTTACACGTTTGCTATTTGGTTAGGTTGCGGATTTCGGGCTGCTAGATTGTACTCCGAATGGGAGATGAGCAGTGAGGACCGCGTGATTGGAACTTCAGGGGACTTTCTCGTTTCTCCCCATCCTACTTGCTATAGGTCCTAGATTTCTTTTGTACAAAAGCAATGCAATTATATGTGCATAATGAAAGAAAAAAGAAAAGGAAGCGATTCCATCTGATCAAGCTCAATGTGATCTGCAGGTATCTGGCACAGGAGTATGTGGATGGCGGGCAAATTACACATAAAGTTGATGTGTACGCATTTGGAATAGTTCTGTTAGAGCTTATGACCGGTCGAAGAATCAATGAACTACAACATGCCAAGGGACATTGTTATTTAGAGAATGGCTCCACCCCCTAGCTACATTAGAGCCACACCACATCTTACCAAATCATTATCAGTTACTGGATCCAGACATGGCCTCCTATGAAAATCCTGACTTTCCCAGTCAACAACAGGCAATGGCTCGTGCTGCTTCTCTGCGTCTGCGCCGAGATCCTGACCCTAGACCCCCAATGTCAAAGGTTCATTAATATCCGTTTCGGGGGGTAAAGTTGTTTGAGTTCAAATTGTGTGGCTTTGTACAGGTGCTGAGAGTGCTATAAGGAGGAGATGCAGTTGTTCCTCTGGGCCTAGACCTGAACACAGCCGGTAGTAGAAGTGGCCATTTGCATGACCTAAGCTCGCCGCGACCTGAAGCAAGAGGAAGCCATTCTCATACATTATCACATAGAAAATGGATTGTCTTTTGGGTTATGGTTTTTTTTTCTATACAAGCGATATTGCGGGAAATCGAAATTAGGGCCTCTGAGTGCAGTTTTGAAGCTCTTTAAGTCTTAATCAACCGAACCGAACGAGTTTACAACTCCCTTGCAGGGGTTATGATGAGAATTCGACGATTTGTATTGCACTCTGCAGTTTTCATGACAGATTGACAGATTTTTTACTTCCACCGTTGTTTTGAGTTACAATATAAAGTTTGTAAAGTTCTTTTACGTGTATATCAGAGTAACAAATTTGTTTGCACAACTTTAATTACAGTAAGAAATGTATATTTACTTGATTGTTTGCCAAGTCTTTTAGTTCGACGATATTGCTTCCCGTCAAACATACTCAAAAGAACCGGCCACATTTGTTTTTGTCATTGAAGGTCTAGCTTCACAAAATACTAATCCCAAGGACGACGGACCAATGATTTTGAAAAAATTTAAGATCATTTGCGGTGAATCGTCTATTTATTTATTTAATAATCAAAGTGAGTAAACAAGAAAGTACATCATAAAATAATCTTTAATCGTTTAAAGCTTAAATTTTTGATTTAAATTTTATATTCAAATCACTCATGTGAAGTCATTCATAACATGCAAATCACGACCTCCTTTAAGAGATTAACAAAGAAATTGAGTGACATTAAATTATTTCTCATATATATTCCCTTCATCGCACACTCCAATCCTTTCATCTCTTACTCTTCTCAGTCAACGCCAATAATCAACGATCCAAATTCCAAACATGACGATTAAAAACAAAACAAAATAAAATTAAAAAAAAAAAAAAAACCTCCAAATCTTCACTCCTCCAGGTGTCGTTCTCTCCACGCTAGCGAAGAAAACCATCATCATCGGACACGTGGCGCAGTTCAATTGCCCAATAAGACCGAAAAGCAATCGGTATCGTAAATAATCAGAACCTCCTATTGTGGCTGCTGCCCCGACCAGCCGACGACGAATAACTCCCATCTGACGGAATCGAAACCGCATCGAACCCCGTGCGCTGGTGACCCATCGCTGCCAGCTCCGGCGCCTGCTCCGACACCCCCCACACCTTCACCGACTTATCCAGACTCCCGCTGTACACAATCCACCGCTGCTCGTTCGCTTTACTCGCATTTACATCCTTGTCCTGCTCCACCGACAGGCACTTCACCGGCCCCGTGTGCCCAGCCAGAACCGACAGGCACGTGTGGATCGTGCCCTCCCTCCGCCACACGCAAATCGTCTTGTCCGCCGACCCGCTGAACACCAAGTTACCCGCCGTCGCCAAACAGAGCACCGCCAGCTTATGCCCCTTCAGCACGCCGCCGTGAGACAGCTGCTTCTCCCGTTCCCAGAAATTCACCAACCCGTCTGACGACCCGCAGTAGATAATCGACCCCGACGCGCTGGCGGCGAGCGCGGTCACCGCGCTCTCCTGCTTCAGCAGTGTTTGCGCCAGAGTGTGCTTGATGATCTTCCCGCTCTGCTCCCTCTTCCAAACTTTAACCGTCCCGTCCGCCGCTCCCGTGTACACCATCCCCTCCACGCTCGCGACAACGGAGTTCACCGCGTCGTCGTGGGCATGGATTGATTCGATGCATTTTGAGGTTTCAATTCGCCACACTTTTAGTGTCCTGTCCCATGATGCGGAGTAGAGAAGCTTCTTGTCCTCGCTGAGGCTCAGGCACGAAATGGCGTCGGAGTGCTTGATCCAGAGCGTCTTCTGCCGCCGCACCTGAACGTAATTGCTGGGTTTCACAGAGTATTTGAAGATATCCATCATCGTGGGCAGAGTCCCTGCGCGTTTGTGCACGCTCGGGTCTTTTGAGGATACCCGCCAGACCCGGATCTTTCCGTCTTGGTGACCCGTGAAGAGCTTGTCGCCTGAGATGACGATAGCTTTCACAAGTCCGCTGTTCGATTTGAATCCGCTGAATTCTTTAAGATTCTTCCAAACTCGGATGTTCTTGCTGTCCGAACCGGTGTACAGCAGGTCTCCTTTGGCCGCGAGGGAGTAAATATGGCCTTCCTCGCGGAGAAGAGACCCAATTAGGCCGTTCTGGGGGACGTTGGATTCCTCGAACGGTTGCCAGGGCGACTTGGAGAAGGGGGAACTGGAGGTGTTGTTCCAGGGTGTTGGAACCCCAGTCCCACATCGGACAGAGGGAGAAGAGAATAGTGCTTTAAATAGAAATACCCCTCTCTAACTAACATCGAGGCCTTTTGTGATAAAACCCCACACCTGAGGATTGTGCAGGTGGTTAAGTGGGGACAGTATCGGTGTTGTTAGAGTGGGCCCTCGGCCCGTCGACCTGAAAATTTCCACATGGTATCAGAGCCAGGAGGCGGGCCCGTACTGCCACGTGATTGGGTGGGTCCCCGTTGGCCCCGCGTGATTGTCCACGTAGGCCAAAGATGCCACGTGTTTGGGTGGGTCCCCATTGGCCCCGCGTGATTGGGTGAGTCCCGACATGGCTCCACGTGGTTGCCGATGTGTGGAAATTCACGTGTGACCCATAAGTGGGGTCTCACGTGCGGGGGAGTGTTGGAACCCCAGTCCCACATCGGACAGAGGGAGAAGAGAATAGTGCTTTAAATAGAAATACCCCTCTCTAACTAACATCGAGGCCTTTTGTGATAAAACCCCACACCTGAGGATTGTGCAGGTGGTTAAGTGGGGACAGTATCGGTGTTGTTAGAGTGGGCCCTCGGCCCGTCGACCTGAAAATTTCCACACAGGGAGACATTGTCATCGGAGAGCACTCGCCACTCATTCGGCTCGAGTCGACAGAGCATGCCGGGCCGAGGGCAGATGCGCTGCTGTTCCGCGCTGGGTATTCTACGTTGAGGTCGGTCACCATGCCGGCTGTGGCGGAGATGTTGGGGGCGGAATGCGTGTAGTTTCCAAATTTACCCCGATGTACAGACTCTGTCTCCGCGAACATCCCGCCGTGATTCACTTGAAGGGAAATTTTATTCAAACTCAATTGTTTTCTCAATTTTAATCACTCGCATCCGCGAAACTGATTAATAATAAAATGGAATTTAAATCAAGCTAAACGAAAAGATTATGAAGATTTTAAGATGTGATTTTAGAAGGATGTGGTTGTTAATTAATGGTGGGAGGAGAAAATGGAGAGAGGTGGCCAACTGCTTAAAGAATGTAGGGAATTTACGAAATGAACAACAGAAGGCGGGAGATGAGACCGGCGGACTATATAAATATAAATAGGGATTTCAGGACCGTTGTGATTTTGACACGTGTGGGGTGGATACGTAGGTCTTGCGTGACGAAGGGTTTTCGGGTCCCGGAGAATCCGGGTCGGACGCTCAGAATAGCAAGTAAGTGTGTGTGTTTGGTAATTGGGATTGGCTGTGATGATTATACGGTTGGGGTTGGGGTTGTACTTGGGTGGTATCTGTATATTTACTATATTTGGGTGCTTTTTCTTGGCGTTTTAGGGTTTTTTTCACTTATATATTATGGGAATTTTTATGTTCACCACCCTCAAGTGATGGTGATGTTCATCTTCCTATTTATTATCGTTGTATGAGTTAAATTTTGAGATCTGCGTGGTGGATAAACTTAAATTTCAAAATTGAAACTTAGCCGATTTAGGATGGTGAATATTACCACCATTTAGGATGGTGAGCAAAAAAAACATCCATATATTATAGTGCACTTTTATTGAATGGCCTAAAGAGAAATGATAAGGAGACTCTCAAAAGTGGGACTCTTGATGAACTTTCTGTCATCACATGTTTTAGCACAATATTTTATAATGTTGGCATAGGAATTAACATTAAACTGTGAGGTGACAGAGAGTCCATGAAGAGTCCTATGTTGAGAGAGTCTCCTTAGCATTTCTCATGGTCTAAATCCAATGTAAAATGGTTGTTTAAGATACATAAATTTTTCATAATTAAGCATAATTAAGCACACACCGTCCTTTAATTACCATCCTTCCCTTGCCAAAGGAAGAAAACATGTATAGATTAGAAAAGGCACCGCCCTTGAAAAAGGAAAAAAAACTAGGGTAGAGATAATGAGTTAGGTATTATAATAAACTAAGCGTTAATTAGGAGTTGTAATTGTAATAGACTTGAATTTTGATTGAATTGTCTTAAAATCTTAGAGGAAAAGACTAAATATGTTAAGGCTTAAAATAAACTATGAGATCTCTCCAATTATACCAAAATCCATCACTTTTTGAAATTTGCATAGACTTCTTTTGATCCTGATTGAATATAATTAATGGCGAACTTAGGATTTTAGCCTAGAAGGGGTCCAAAAGTCTCAATGTGAAATACTCTTCTAATCTTACAAAAATTACGATGTCGTGTAGTGAGCAATATACCACCGTCGTTTGGATCTACTATGATGTCATCTTCATCATCATTTTTATTAAACCTAAACCCCAAACCTTTATAACTTTTTTTCTCCTCAAAACTCATGAGCAACAGATTGCTTGAACCCTACCAATCTCAAATCAAACCCGTTAGAAAGAAAATAAACAAAAAACATCCGATTGAGGCTCTAAACCCGAAAAAACTTTGAAAATTAAAAACATAATACTTTTTCTGCGTGAAAAAAAAAAGTCAGAATGAACTTGGGACTTCGTGGTCCCTTCATGACTTTTATAGCATTTTAAAATTCTGATTCAATGTCACAAAATTTTTTGAGGACCCTAGTGTAATGTTTTTGTAGGCAATCAAATGTAGCCAAGGTTTCGTGTCACTCAGATGTTGGTCATTGCATGTTATATTTAAATATGTAACGACATTTTAACTGAGACATGTGATAAAAGCAATAGTTGCTTCATATATTGTGGAAATTTTCAGGTCGACGGGCCGAGGGCCCACTCTAACAACACCGATACTGTCCCCACTTAACCACCTGCACAATCCTCAGGTGTGGGGTTTTATCACAAAAGGCCTCGATGTTAGTTAGAGAGGGGTATTTCTATTTAAAGCACTATTCTCTTCTCCCTCTGTCCGATGTGGGACTGGGGTTCCAACACTCCCCCGCACGTGAGACCCCACTTATGGGTCACACGTGAATTTCCACACATCGGCAACCACGTGGAGCCATGTCGGGACTCACCCAATCACGCGGGGCCAATGGGGACCCACCCAAACACGTGGCATCTTTGGCCTACGTGGACAATCACGCGGGGCCAACGGGGACCCACCCAATCACGTGGCAGTACGGGCCCGCCTCCTGGCTCTGATACCATGTGGAAATTTTCAGGTCGACGGGCCGAGGGCCCACTCTAACAACACCGATACTGTCCCCACTTAACCACCTGCACAATCCTCAGGTGTGGGGTTTTATCACAAAAGGCCTCGATGTTAGTTAGAGAGGGGTATTTCTATTTAAAGCACTATTCTCTTCTCCCTCTGTCCGATGTGGGACTGGGGTTCCAACATATATGATCATAATTTCTTGGCGGAAAATGCCAGAGACCGTCTTCAAACTGCAAATATGTTATACTTTTGCCACCGACCATGAAAAGTGCAATACTATTTTACTGTTGGTGGCAAGCATGCATATGCTGCTAGAATGTCAGCGTACGTAGATATATAAAAGGACTTCCTTTACTTTAAAGTTAAAATAAATAAAAAATGCATGCACTAACCGCAGGCAGTTGGAAGTTGGAATGATGATGATATCTATCAAAGAATTAAACAACCACTGCGGGGGTAACCGATGGACGTTAACGACTAATTTCAGGTTTGTATTTCACGTTTTGGGTTTTATTTCTGACGATGGTGAATCACACAATAGTGGTCAAGAAGAAACTGTAATGTTTTTATGAGTCTTTCCAAATCTCCAAAGATGAACCACAATGACGAAACCACTAACTGATTTCCTTTTTAGCTATTTTAGTAAAAAAGATAAACAAATATCAATCATTGACACCCAATTAAAAGAAATCATCTCCATTAACGAACCACAATACTATATAACCAAACCATGGGCACACATGCACACTCCAATAATCTTATACAAATGTGAATGTAGGGAAAGGGCAAGCTCAAGCTTGTGGAATAGGCTTCATCTTGGTCCACCATTAAACTTCAAAATGCGAGGTTAGGGCACATTCATGAAAGTGATCGATTTGTCGCAACAATATTGAGCCATTGACAGTTCTGATTGTCATGAACGATGCATATCGACAAAGAATCGACACTAACTTTCATCGAAAGATCATCATTGGGTAGTACTACAAGCAATCAACAAAAATTTATCGTTTCATGGTGCCGTAAAGTCGGAAGAACAAGTATCGTATTAATATATCGTTTCTAATTATCACATCCAAGCAATATTTCCTAGCTTGGTTGCACTCAAACGTCATTGCTTAGTTTGGATCCATTAACTGTTGATCATATATATATATATATATATAGGAAATCTTTAAGGGAAGGGATCTCTATTTTTTTTTTTTTATAAAAATAGGCTTAGTTATGGGGTTCACACTACATCAAACTTTAACGATCCGAACCGTCTATTTTTCAAGTTACACCTCATAGATCATCTTTACATAATATCAGCCAAATCGGAAATGTTTAAGACATATAATTAGGTTAAAAGAAATTAACGAATACTTTATTATATAAGAAACAATAAAATTTTATCTTAATAATTAAATAGGCAAATGGTTTCAGATTGAATTGAATTTTTGCAAGGATGATCTATGAATCAAGACTTACAAAATAGACGGTTTGGATCATTGAAGTTCGATATGGAGTGAATCCCACACCTAATTCTCATTTTTTGAAAAAAAACGAGGATCCATTTGCATAAAGGGCATGTATATATAGAGTAAACGAATCTCATTAGGAACCTTTAAAAGTCATCTTAACCTAAGGGGCTAAATATAGCTCTGTCCATATTTATAGCCCTACAATAAGTTATTTTTTTAATCAACAGTATCAAACCATATTTATATATCATTTTCAATCCAAGGTTTTAGGTTTGATTCTCTTCAAAAGTAAATTTGAACCACATTATTATGACTCGCTCATTGTGATGCTTAGCTCACTCCCTCACCCCCTTAGTGTATATCTATCATTTGTTAAAATTAAAAATTAAAAAAAAACCCACCTAATTCCTTAATAATTATCAACTTTAAATTTGTTCTTTAGTTGTATTGGTGAAACTTTAGATAAAATGAAAATAATACCCCAACCAGAGGGGAAAAACATCATTTTCTTCATAAAGCCGACTGAAGAACCTGTCTTTCTTCTTTCTTCAGCCTGGCATACCAAATGCCCAAATATTTCCACGCCAAATAAATCAACCAAGTTTCCAAAACTCAATTGAATTCAAATGAATCCCTTGCTTCTGTATTTTACTGAAGGAACGTCCAAGAGAAAGAACTGGGAAGAGTAGAGAGAACGAGCCAAAGAGAGACAAGGAAGAAAATTGAAAAAAAAAGAAGAGAGAGACGGCAAAATAAAAGTGGAGCCCAAAAAAATTACCCCTGGGCTACCGGGCTTGCTATGTCCGGCAAGCATGATGGCCTTTAGTCCGCTGACAAGGATTTAGCCCGGTGCAGATTAGGATTTAGCCTGCTTGTTGGAGACGGGTTTTTAACATCTTATGGTCATTTTTTGGCCTTTGGATCTTTAATCATCTCTATTGGTGATAACGTCTCAGCCAATTGCCCCAATTGTTAGGGCGTTAAAACTCATCTTATAAAATCTTAAAAATAACAAGGAAATTGGTTTGAAATGTACAGATCGAATCGAATACTTTTCTTTCTTTTGTCCCAAAACTATAGGATAATAAATCAGAGGAGCTGCTGATCACCATAAAGAATAGGGTAAACCACAAAAAAACAAGAAGCCATTAACCATAGCCTTCCATATGGTTCAAGTGTGTGTCATTCGATATGCGACGACGTCGTCCTTGCTCCTTCGTTGAAATTTCTTGGCAAGACAAGAAATGGTGGAGAAAAGTAGCATTTTATGTTACCACTATAAAATCAAGTGGAACATGACGACAAGATGATTAGTTAATGAAAAAACCCTAGTTCCTTGTTTGTACGTGAAGGTCCGAAGAAACCCTAGTTTTCTGATGATGGCAAACGGCCAAGAAACCTTTCGAAAAGAAATTGTAATGGAAGCTGGTAATTTACTAATTTGTTAGGTTTTGGCAAAGACCGTTGCTT